TAATATTTCTGGGAGTGAAGAATGAAAGAAGGAAGATTACCGCTGGATTCTGGAAGATGCTATAATGCAAGCGAGTTCAGTAAWATTTGTCAAGAAACTTACTTGTAATTCTTGAAGAATGTTTGCAGCTTCTGAAATATCTCCTTCATCTTCCTTAATCTGAGCCAGCATTCTGGTGAGCCTTGCCCTTTCAATTTCTAAATAAATCTAAATTAAAAAAGTAAAAAAAAAAAATTTAGACTGATGTGACAACAAAGGTGATGAATCCTCTTTGGATTTTATCAGAATAGCAACTCTCCCAAACTACAAGGTCCTACACAGAACATTCACAAAATATCATGAGCTGTTATAATGGATAAAATCCATACAAAAGTTAAGAAGAAAACAATTTTAAACATTAAATCAAAACCCCAGGAGCAAAGGTTAAGATCAAAAAACTTTTCTATTTTTGTGCAAATAAAATAAAAAACTAAGCAAAAAATATTCTGAAAAGTATACAATTAAATTTAGCTTTCACTCTCTTATAAATGATTTCACAGTGACTACAATCCCCATAAGGGCTTTCATTACTAAAATCACACTTATAGAMCATAGAAACCGAGACCAAAAATGTATGTTTGCGAAATTGTTATCATTTAATTACTTTCTCACCTTGCCAGCTGACACAGTGCGTAGAGTGTCAATCAATTTTAGCTTTGTCTCTTTATCAGGTGTCTGATCGACATAACTAAAAGCTTCTTGGATCATCTTTGTCACTGCCTGCTTTAACTGACTGCGACGTTTTGTTAGTAAAGTGACATTCTCATTCAARGCATTCCAGTCTTTTGCTTTAAAACACAGCTGGACGATGCAMACTAGAAGYCGTGCTGTACTGTGCATATCAGCAGCCTAAACCATAAATGAAATACAAATTAAACAAGCTAAATTTCTAATAGAAGTAGTATTCATTATAGTGTTCATTAGTTTAAAACTTCAATGAACGATTGACAGACTGATTGGATGATTCTCTGATTGGTTGATTGATTGAATCAACATCAGTTTAAGCCCCATATAAAACTCACAGCGCGAAATTATTAAACAGAACAGAAAATGTTCTATATTGACTCATAAGTTCTATATTGACTCATTATAAACTTAATAAATTCCTTGAACAATCAGAAACAAAGATTTTCACAAAAGAACGTCTGTCATAATGTGAGATACACAAACTGTTACATCAAACTTACAGTTCTTGTTTGCTTTTCAAGGGAAAGCAATTTTTCCAAAGCTTCTGTTAATTTTCCTTCCTGAAATTACATTACATTCTTATTGACAAGAATACCATTCATTTTTCACCGGCAAAGTGCAGCTTCACGTCAGGCCATGAAAATACTAAAACAGCGCATGCGATACAATCTTTTGATATCAAAAACTACAGATTCTTACCGCTGATATAGCTTCACATTCTGGTATAGTTTTATCYACCGTATCGCTATAATCAACCTCCATTTTTACTACATTTCCCTTCATATCGGTGACCGTGGTAGACGCCATCTTGAAAATCTTTTGCAGAATGACCGAAGAGCATCATGGGAAGATTAGTCAGCAATAAAAAGGCACAGGAATCCCAATAACTCCAAGATAAGAGGATTTGCATCTTAGGGCAGGGCCCGAAACAAAGTGAAATCAAACAGCTGAAGGTCGTCCGAATATAAAGGGAAACACTCCATGGGTAAATGATTACAGATTGATGTTTCAATTTTAATTTTCTTTGAGCGATGTATGGCAACTGGGATTGAAAAAATGACATTAGCATCTATCAGTACAACTTTAGTTTCTGACAAGCTGYATGCGCAACTTCACTTATAAACATTAATGACATAGAAAAATCATCAAAATGCTTATGTTTCTTGCAAAAATTTCCATTAGTTTAATAATTCAAATCTTTCTACTAGAGCAGAGTCACATGAACCATGAAATAAAAACTAAAAAGTACTAACTAATAGGTACTATTAGTTCCTAATAGTCATTAGCACTGAACCAGAACACTTTATTTGATCCAATAAGCAATACCCAAGAGAACACTATAACAATCAAAGTAATCTCTTTGTACTGTTCTGGTTCAGTGATAGTGTCTAAATAGTGCCTATTAGTTACTAAATATTTAGTTTCTATTTCATGGTTCAAGTGACTCTGCTCTAGTACTTTGAGAGCTGCTCTAGTACTTTGAGAGCTATAGTACACAATTCTTTAAGTCTCTGTCTGGAATTCTTTTCAAATACTGGGATATATAAGGAAAAATCCCAGGAACAATGTAGGCATCCCACTGAGATTTGAACCCAGTCAAACTAATCTCTCGTTGACGATGTAACACAGGTAACCCATCATTTCAAGCAGAGAATACAACATCATGCATTTTGACATGGTCTTCTGCTAAAAAAATGCAATTGTGCAAAGCAAGTGTATTTGTCTAATACTTTTTACCGGAGTGCATTCATTACTTCCATGATCAGTTACACAATGTCATTGCACTTTCCAACAAGTGAACAAACTCCGACAAGAACTCAAATCTGTTTTCAAGTATGTTATTTCTTCAAGTTGGTCACAATAATGAATTCACTCATGTTTACTTTCCTTGCACCTAAAATAGACATAACTACTCCGCATTTAATACTATATATATAAACACAAACAAGACATTATAAAAAAATGGCAGGATTTATTACTGCTATCAAAACTTATTCAACTGACATATCCAATTTTTTTCAAATTACTTCATCTTATTCATTCATTTTGTACAATATAAATATCAATCTTTAATTTGTTGACTTAGCACACGACCCAAAATATAAACAGTTCATTTGCAGGTATACAAACAACTAGTTTTCTTGAAGTAAAGTTTAGAAGCATTTCCTGTGGACAATGGCTGGACCAGATTCGTCATACTCTTGCTTGGAGATCCACATCTGTTGGAAGGTGGACAGRGAAGCAAGGATGGAKCCTCCAATCCATACAGAGTATTTTCTCTCTGGTGGAGCAATGATCTTRATCTTCATGGTTGGTGGGGCAAGGTTGGCAATTTCCTTCTGCATACGGTCAGCGATACCTGGGTACATGGTGGAGCCACCAGACARGACAGTGTTAGCRTACAGGTCCTTACGGATATCAACRTCACACTTCATGATGGAGTTGTAGGTTGTTTCATGGATACCAGCAGATTCCATACCAAGGAATGAGGGCTGGAACATGGCCTCTGGGCATCGGAATCTCTCATTGCCAATGGTGATGACCTGTCCATCAGGCAATTCATAGCTCTTCTCAAGGCTTGAGCTGGCAGCAGCAGTCTGCATCTCCTGCTCRAAGTCCAAGGCAACATAGCAGAGCTTCTCCTTGATGTCACGGACAATCTCACGTTCAGCAGTGGTGGTGAAAGAGTAGCCTCTCTCTGTCAGGATCTTCATGAGGTAGTCAGTCAAGTCACGACCAGCCAAGTCAAGACGGAGGATGGCGTGGGGCAGAGCATAACCCTCATAGATGGGTACTGTGTGAGAAACACCATCACCAGAGTCCATKACAATACCAGTGGTACGTCCAGAAGCGTACAGGGACAAGACGGCCTGGATAGCTACATACATAGCAGGGCTGTTGAAGGTCTCGAACATGATCTGAAATTATTAAGATATATTTATTTAATATAATATTCATATTGTGTCCAATTTAAAGTCATGAAATTATAACTACTTGACAGCAATGAATATTAATCAAGCTAGCATTGATTAACAAGTAGAWAAGGTCAAATTATTTAACGAACACTTGAGTAAAGCAAAGGTTAATTGCGCCTGGAGACAACTTGAATAAAAAATACCAGGAGTATAATAGAAGCTTGTCGACACAAGACAATGTTTTGTTCAAGTCCAATGAAAAGTCAGTGAAGCGATCAGCGTATTTACGAGTTGACTTACATGGAAATACAAAATCATTCGATATCTTATATCAATAGTTATGCCGTTACAGAATATCATATCGAAACATTTCGCAATGCAGTTTCGCTTTGCAACTAGGGGTGTGGTGCACACGCCGAAAAGAGTTTGAAAGCTTACCTGAGTCATCTTTTCACGATTTGCCTTGGGGTTCAATGGAGCTTCGGTTAGAAGAACGGGATGTTCCTCTGGAGCAACACGAAGTTCGTTGTAGAAAGTGTGATGCCAAATCTACAAGAAATCATACCGTTTRAGTAACTAACTCATCGATTACTAATGAGCATGGGTGTTGAATGCATGAAAGATCGACTTAAAACATACCTTTTCCATATCGTCCCAGTTGGTRACGATTCCGTGTTCGATGGGGTATTTCAAGGTAAGGATACCTCTCTTGCTTTGGGCCTCGTCTCCAACGTAAGAGTCCTTTTGGCCCATGCCAACCATAACGCCTTGATGACGAGGTCTCCCAACGATGGAAGGAAAGACGGCTCGTGGAGCATCGTCWCCAGCGAAACCAGCTTTGCACATACCAGATCCGTTGTCAACAACCAAAGCAGCAACGTCTTCGTCAGCCATTGTAAGTTTGAAGTATGAAGTGAAAAATTCACAAAACGAGAGTACAACTACACTTGAACCTTTGGGTCGTCGAGTGGGGCGATCGAGTGCTTGCAAGCTCTTTTATACCAGATTGGTAACAATAAGCCGACTAGAGATTACCTAATATGGTCACATTTTGGTCAGTTCCGCGTAAGTGTGGAAATCGAGTAAACAAAAAGCTGACAACTGATTTTACAATGACGTAGCAATGTTTTGATTATTCTCTAACTTTTAATAATCTGAATTTTTTTAAGCCGCATTTCAGACAAAACGATTGCAGTTCTCAAGGAGAATTCATGGTTGATAAGTCAGGCTTTTCCTCTTGTGATTTTTACGGTCGGTTGGCGATAGTTTACGCATGATATGTTAGGAGACGCGATCAAGGGTTATGTAATGAGATTTTGACATATGATCAAACAAAGCCAATATAAATTTGTAAAAAACACTTAAATTGTAGTTCTGTATCAATATTTGAATTTTTAGATGTTCCCTACGAAAGAATCTTTCGTGACATTTTCACTTGGTTTTGTATTTTCAATCAAAACATATGCTCGATAATACCCTTAGCACATGGTGGGCCTGTTTCATAATTCATCAGTAATGTCGACAGACCGCCTTGAGTTACACTCAACACATCACTTCCTGCCGAATCTTTCCGGGGTTTCGATTTCGTTGTGTGAGAAGTTATACTAGAGATTTCTACTGAATTTTTTGGTTGCTATTTATGTATTCATAGTGAAATAATAATTTTCTTGTTTAATCAAATAAATCTTCTGCAAACATTGAATGTTTTGTCAGAACGATTAGTGTTGGGTGGGGGAGAGGGGTGTACGTTTAAGCTATCAACTTGATTTGATGTGCCGTGACACGATTTATCGCAAGTAACGCCACTTTTACTATTTTAACGTAGATTTGTAAAGTGAAATACAATTATTCTGGAAGAATAAAATTTSYAACCCAATTTAGTCATTTTGACAGSAAATATTTGAACAAATAGAAGCCTAAATAGATCTAAAGATCTACACTAAAGCGCGGATCTGGTCTCTGTCAGACGGAATTCAGCATGTGCTCATGCAGACGACACGTGTAATAGTATTCAGGGGGCGTTGGCCTTGTCATTTAGAGGGTTTCTGAGGTTCTTTTACAAAGCGGAAAATTCAATGAAGTCACTCATTCAAGTTACGCATAATTCAAAAAGGTTTCGATTCTGCTTTATCGTTGTTAAAAACAGGAAATATTGAATATTTTTGGGACGCATCAGTGTAAGGTGACCCGCGTCGCTTGGGATGTCATGACTAGTCTGATCAAGAGATAATAAGATGATAGATACCTCAAGATCGTGTCATCCCTCTCAGCCGGGAATCATGATCTCTGCGTTCTTTACTASTTACGCAACCAAACAACCACCGCCCAACCCTGCATCGACTTGTTCTAGAGTACGGCTGATGTCAGTTAAAACAGAGTTATTTCAGTAACCATTAAAAGAGCACAAATATGTTGTGATACAAGCTATGACCCGTTTTCTTTCGATTTTTYCCCAAAGTTAACCCTGCGTTTATCAAAAACCGAATATTAAAAGTGACCAAAAGCTACTCAGTCCAGACCTGTTGATAAGAGTTTTATATAGCGATCCAAAGTTTATTCTAGCGGGCTCCCTGTGTAACGACTAAAGGGAGATGACTTTCGAGTGACCTATAGAAGCTCATAGAATTTTATGATGATTTAATTTAATTGTTTAAGTTGTAATCAGAAACGTCCTCAAGCAAAATACTTAGTTATGTAGGGGAAATTTTAAATTCAGAATATAAGCTAATCAATTATAAAAATCCTGAAAGAGCGCAAATACAGCGGTTGAGAAGCAAAATAGATACTGATTTATTTTTTTATATATCAGTGCATCTCGCATTTATTCGTTTTAAATTTATTTATTTTTTGTCATATTGTTTTTTTCAAACAACTTTTGCCTACCTGCATCATTTTTTAAGTATTTATCACACAGAGCCGGTTCGCGAAGTTCGCATTGGTTTAGCCTTATGGGTTCCCTATATGTCAGTAGTCGAGCGATCCTGCGTTCTAGAAAACCCATTCAAGAGCATCTTACCAAATATGGTCAATGTAACTTCCATATACGGTCATCTTTTTGCAGCAGAAGAGCAGAAAAGTGGCGCGTGTTCACTACTTACAGAAACTACAGAGAGGTTTTGGCTGCACTGTTTTCTAGCTCTCATATAGTGATCTTAACAGCGAAAGTTTGCAGAAATGGCAGACGATGACATTGCAGCACTTGTTATTGATAACGGATCTGGTATGTGCAAAGCTGGTTTCGCTGGAGACGATGCTCCACGAGCCGTCTTTCCTTCCATMGTCGGGAGACCTCGACATCAAGGTGTTATGGTTGGCATGGGCCAAAAGGACTCTTACGTTGGAGAYGAGGCCCAAAGCAAGAGAGGTATCCTTACCTTGAAATACCCCATCGAACACGGAATCGTTACCAACTGGGACGATATGGAAAAGGTATATTTTAAGCCGATCTTCCATATGCATTCAACACCCTTCCTCATTAGTAATCGATGAGTTACTCAAACAGCATGATTTCTTGTAGATTTGGCATCACACGTTCTACAACGAACTTCGTGTTGCTCCAGAGGAACATCCCGTTCTTYTAACCGAAGCTCCATTGAACCCCAAGGCAAATCGTGAGAAGATGACTCAGGTAAGCTTAATTGAAATTATTTTTCATAGATCTAAACGTCCTATAAAACCCTCCAGTCAATGAAAACATCTTTGCGATCTGTTCCGCAGAGTAATGAAATGTCTTTTTACAAGAGAAAGTGTCCATTCAACGTTTTTTCAGTATTGTTTTCAAATGTTATGATTGAGATTACTAATTTGTACTAATTCGGTATTCAGATCATGTTCGAGACCTTCAACAGCCCTGCTATGTATGTAGCTATCCAGGCCGTCTTGTCCCTGTACGCTTCTGGACGTACCACTGGTATTGTMATGGACTCTGGTGATGGTGTTTCTCACACAGTACCCATCTATGAGGGTTATGCTCTSCCCCACGCCATCCTCCGTCTTGACTTGGCTGGTCGTGACTTGACWGACTACCTCATGAAGATCCTKACAGAGAGAGGCTACTCTTTCACCACTACTGCTGAACGTGAGATTGTCCGTGACATCAAGGAGAAGCTCTGCTACGTTGCCTTGGACTTTGARCAAGAGATGCAGACCGCTGCGTCAAGCTCAAGTCTTGAGAAGAGYTATGARYTKCCTGATGGCCARGTCATCACCATTGGCAATGAGAGATTCCGGTGCCCTGAAGCTCTTTTCCAGCCTTCAGCACTTGGACTTGAGGCATGTGGCATCCATGAAACGACCTACAACTCCATCATGAAGTGTGATGTWGATATCCGCAAGGACCTGTATGCCAACACTGTTCTTTCTGGTGGAACTACAATGTATCCTGGGATTGCAGACCGCATGCAGAAAGAGATTGCTGCACTGGCACCTTCTACAATGAAGATYAAGATCATTGCTCCACCAGAGAGAAAATACTCTGTATGGATTGGAGGATCCATCCTTGCTTCTCTGTCCACCTTCCAACAGATGTGGATTTCCAAGCAAGAGTATGATGAATCTGGTCCAGCTATTGTCCACAGAAAGTGTTTCTAAACTGTTTTGTTGAGCAAAAACAGTGTGCCCTGTCAGCGTTAAGTATTGATTCAAAATACTTAACCCCCCCTGACTGCCATGTGTTTATTGACATCAATCACTATATGAAATATTAAGCTTGTAGTTGTCTTGAAATAAAGTTGAGTTCATCACATAAAAACAATTGTTTTAATTGTGTTTTAATGCTGCATTACATCACTTGTACAAAACATTACAAAATTAGTTGTTCAAGTTATATATTCACAATTCACAAATATGAGTAACAATATTTTTTTTCGACACTACAATAGCCTGCATTCTATGACTGAGGCACAGGAACCTGAAATGGAATTTTTTGACCAAAAGGGATTGCTCAAAATCCATTGTTTGTAAATATATAGGTGATATAGTATAGTAAACTGCATTGTACATCGTACATGTGAAACTAAGATTAATTTACTCCCCTAAATTTATTGCTCTGGACTTCTCATGTATGGCCTTTTCACATATAAACTGCAGTAAAAGACTCGAAGTATAACGTTCATGATTGGTTGAATGAGATCAGAGTTACATAATATGCCCAACAAAACTTACTAGTTCAATACACCAATCATACCATTAACTGGACTTCCTCTATCTCCCACCAATATTAGTCTRTTAGTTTATTAAATCTATTATTGCAGACAGTGCTTTCCCATTTYATATGACATGTCATTTACTAGATCAATGAAATTTTCTCATGGTAGTGCTATTGCTGTTTTTCCACCAATTGTATCCGTTGGGTTTTGAAAGATTGCAAGACAACAAAGACGTGGTGCATGGTATGAACACTTATCATGAGAAACGTTTTAAGTGAACCATTCTACAATGCAAACTGAAAACAAGCAATTGCATKCACTCTTTTAGAGTAAATCTTTTAATCATAAAGAAATTCTTTCCTCTTGAATTAATTATAGTGATGATTAACTATATTCAGCACATAAACACAAGCATAGAGCATGTTAACCGAAATGAGTTAACTCTATATACAATCTATATATAACGTATAAGTACATTTGACATTTCATTTTTATGTACAAAAATGCAGTGAAGTATGGTCCACATATCCCATCAGACAGCATGATGGGTACATGACGGCACATGTACCATTCCAAAGCATATATTAGTAAGACAGCTTTGTGTATAAAGTAGCTAACTGTAGACTGCGGCTTGTGTGACTTTCTTCTTTCTTGTCTGAAGCATGTCATAGAATGGATCAAAAATCATACTGGCCCTGTATAACAAACATCAAAAAAATTATTAGCAACACTTACAATACAGTTAAAATGAACTGAGTTTGAGAATGGCATTAAATTATACATTGTGCTGTAATGAATCTTTGATAATGAAATAGTGAACATGTAGTTATGGTGACGTGATGATGATGATGATGATGATGATGATAATGACAATCAAACAACTTACTTTATACAGCCTATCCATGTTTCTCTTTCTTCTTCTGAGGCAGCACAAATTCGATAGACATCATGATGGCCTAAAACAGAAAAGATTGAAAGCCTGTTCAAACATCTTTTCAAATTATTGTCTATTCTTTTTTATGGTTTCTTCCTTTTCATTGTAAACCCCTTTATATTTCCCTCCTTGTTCATACTTCTTCTTTGAGCTTGAGATAAACCTCATACCTTCAACAACCTTTCCTTCTGAGTCTGTTTTGCAGGCTTTGATTAGTCCAGATGAATTGTCAGCCGAGAAGATTTCGAAACAGTACTAAAAAAGGCAACCAAATTAATCAGAGAAAAAATAAASTTATGCTAAATAAAACTGTTATTGAATACCTTTTTCTTGGCATCATTCACTTCTCTGACCTGCAGATTTTCAAGTGGAATAATACCTCGAGGTTCTCGATCCTGAAAGTGATGAAAATGTGTCAATCAACACCATGATAATAATGACAAATGATGATGATAAACGATGATGATGATGACAATGCTTTTGTTTCAAATAGTCTCCTTCATAGTTCCCTGCGCCATCTTGAAAGGTAGCCGTGCCTTTACATCGAAGCGAGACGACCATTGAGAGTGCGATGATAGAAACCTTCTCTCACACTTACAGACAATTATTCCAAGGTATCTATCATTGCACGCTCAAAGTTGTCTCGCTTTGATGTAAAGGCACAGCCACCTTTCAAGATGGGGCAGGTAACCGTGAAGGAGACCATTCATTTGCTCTGGTGTACACTGCTTTCCTAATTTTTTCATTTACTGAATGTACACATTGTTGCACATCTCAGTACAGTTTTAGATCATTCCACAATATTCCATGAACACAAGGCATACTTACCCCAACATTTTTAAAGTAATACAAGCAGTTATCTTTTAATATGAAGTATCTTTTCTTCCACGTCTTATGTAGACCACCTGAACAAAATATATACTCACATAAGCTCTCTAAACCAGAAAAATTGTGAGTAGGTTTTGAAGTAAATGTACCTTCTTTGACAAGACTACCYTCCCTGTCAGGGTTGAAGAAAGTCTGTGTGATGTCGTTTCCATCATCTTCTGGGATCTTGAATGCTTCATTCTTTATGCTTTCATATAAACCCTGTAAAAAAGGAGAAGTTCATATTATCTGAGAAAAAACGGAGACTTGGATTGAAAAATATTGGATTTAAATTCTTGTTTTGTTTGAATGGTATTAAAGGATGAATCATTTAATATACTTGAGMCTTACCGTGAGAAAGTCTTTATCTAAATCAGCTCCACAATTAATTCCTTTGTTCATCTGAATAAACCTTTCAATAGTTGGCTAAAAACACAAATGAAAATTAATCATATTTAAACTGTGAGCACAAATGAAAGCAAAAAGTAAAAAAAGAAAGAAAGAAAGAAAGAATTTTCCACATAAAATATAATCTCTCCAAATGAGGTGTACAATGTTAAAAAAATGTTGCTCAGACTTTTAGAAGACGAGGTAAGACAACAGCTCATCAAAGAGATCATATTTGCCCCAGGCTTTATGCTTCAAACTCCTGAGTGTTTTTTTTTGTTACCTTATCCTTTACACTTGGGTTGTGCAGACTTGTATTCAGCAAAATGATKGAAAAACTTAACACATAACAGGTATCTGTAAACACATTTAATAATGGAAACATTATGCCACAATATTATAAGTACCGTTTACAATATTATCATGCATGTTGGTAGTAAAACTATTGAAAAATTAATTTATGTGCAATAGAGCTATTATTATTTGACCATTAGCACTGAATATCTAATAGTCTTTTTCCTTTGCATCAAAGCGAGACGACCTTGTGCAATGATAGAAACCTTCTTTAACACCTACAGACAATTTTCTATAATTGCATGCTCAATAGCCATCTTGCTTTGATGCAAAGGCTTGTATACAGTACATTTCAAGATGGCACAGGGAACCGTAAAGGAGACAATTGGGTGTTTGCTACTAGACTTAAGATACTATTTTTTCAATGACAAGTGTACTTATTTCATGCACTACTTCACCTGTATCTGTRAAAAGTCCTGGGTTGTCTTGGCAATATTGTTTAGCAAACCCTTCCATCATTCTGTCTATCTTCTGGGCTTCGCCAGGCAGTCGAAAACTCCACAGAAACTCTCTAAAATTGCATAAAAAAAAACAGATCTAGGAATCATCTTAAGCATTACTAACATACCATCACTACAGAAATATTATTAAAACGTGGAAAATCAAACTGTAAATGTAGTCCTTACCTTAAGGCATGAACAAGGTCCCTTTTTTCAAACTTGTGCAGCTTCACGAACTTATCAAATACTTTAAGATTAAATTCTTGGCTGTTGAATGGAAGACAATGAATTTTAATATGTTAATTGGTCATTATGTTAAATTTGCTTCACCATGCRACCAGACCAATACAGACAAAAGTCACAATGTAAAATCAGAAATACACTAAAGCCAATTCAAACAGTTCTCTTTGCTTTTAAAGTACATTTAACTGGCTTAAGGATCACCAGAGCTCAAGATTTTAATGGACAGAAGGCAGTCTTCAGTGCAATTATTACAAATTTCTACTTTTTACTAAATTGACAATATAGCAATTGCAAATAAAAACTGAATTTATCAGTTTGGATCTTTTCCTCCTTTTATTTACTCATTCATTTCTAAATCTGTCATTGCATTCATTTGCATTAATATTCAGACAAACTACATGAGACATCACTCAGAGACACTTCAAGGATTTCATAAATCTTACTTCTCTCCCAAGTAATTCCCAATCTGTGTCTTGTTAAGGTTTTCACCAGTGTACAAAAAGTCTGCAACATCTTCAGGGGTTTCATTCAACAATCCACTAGATATAAGATATTCAATACCCTACAAATACAAAAAGGTAAATTGAAGAAATATTTGAGTAAAATCATAGTTTCTGGAGTACAAATACCATCAAGTATAAATCAAGATAAAATAGACTAGGGTGCCACATTATTGCATTAGTTGTAAAGAATAAATAATAATCATCAAATGGACATGGACAATTATAATTTTATTTATTTATTGTCTCCTGGTAAATATTGATACATTTTAAGAAGAATATTTGATTGATTAACTTTTAGTTACCTTGTTTGGATGTAGATTAAACTTCTTTCGACCAATAGTTCTTTGTTTTGTTTTCATGTCT